TTCAATTTGTATTTACTTATTTTGCAATTTAATTTAAACAAATGTTACTTCCTTATATTAAGTAAAATATTACTTGTAACAAAATTATAAAATCAATATCAACTCACCTAAAATAAACAGAAGTTCTTTTTAAAATAAGTCTTTATTTTTGTAACTCCAAAGATCGAATGACGTTAAACCTTTACTTTGGTTATTTCAAATTTTTAGTCACATGATCTTTGGAATTACGAACTTCTGCTATTTTCTCCAATCAGCTTCTTAATTAAAATTTAGTGACCTCCCTTATTAAGTTTTTATTGGTTAATAACTGGACACTGACCGGATTTCTATCTGTCTTTCATTTCTCAATTATCTTTAGCGTCACCCTTAAAACGGATTATCTCGCTTATTACATGAAGACAAAGAATAAGAACATTTTCTTTGTTCGCTAGGATTAGCGTATCTACACAAGATTTATTTGATTTATCTTATACAAAGATTTAATTTCCTAAGTGTCTAGCAAGCTATTCTTTTCCTTATTTTCTAGTTAAAAACTATAATTTGTGCTAAAAGTTTACGTAATACTATTTACAAATCGCTTTGTCTACTTTCTAACAAATCCAAACTTATTTACATGTCTTCTTATTTTATCTAACAACTAGCTTTTTGAGAAATACTGTTTACACGTTCTTTTCTTCTCTTAAATCCGACTTTATTTTCTATCCTTAACATAGTTTCTTATTTAAATTATTTAAGTATTCAATGTAATTATTGCATTCTTTAATATTTCTTTATTTATAACTAAAATGCAGAAATATAAACTATTAAACTTCTTTTTATATTAAAACATATTTAAGGTGTTTTTAATGTCACAATAGGTTTATTAATTACGTTTTTTAAATTAAATTGATGTATCGTATTATATAACTTATTATTATTATAAGAAAAAAAATCGGAATTCAAGTCTCCAGAAATCACAATGTTTTCTGTAAACTAATAACCAAGTTCAATAGCATGATTTAGTCGTGTCCAATATTCAACACCTGACCATTCCGGTCGATAAGTACAACATAATAAAAAAGTTTGACCTTTACCTCTGATCTCCACCCAGATAGTTTCGTCAATGTGGTTTTCGAGTACACCTTTTCTGGTGACTGATATATCATCTTTTGTATAAATGAGTAAGCCTCCTCCGGCATTACAAGTTACGATCTTTACGGAATATATTTTGTGAAAATGAATCTATCATTAATTCTTCGTTATTTTTATTTGGATCTAAGTGTGTTTCAGTGACTGTTACAATATCAAACTCTTCTGCAAAATTTTGAATGAACTCAATCTTATTTCGTAAACTACGAATGTTAATATTGCATATTGATATGGAGTTATCAGTTTCACGAGAAAAAACGTTTTCATGTTCATTTGGACCGGGATTTTGTTCAACGCTTCCAATTATAAGGATGAAGTGTAACACAAATAGAAGGAATAAAACATTTATATTTGGATCAAGGCTCTGAAGAAGCGACAAGGAGACGACGAGAAATGAACAACGACAATTGATAAATAGAATTTCCGAAAAAGGTTCTCCTTTGTAACAAAAATTATCTGATCCGGAAAAATGAAATTTACATGAATTGAATAACCCTATGCATGGCTACCCTGTATTGTTCAATACAATTACCCGTTAGGTAAAAGTACAACAAATAAAAACAATTTAAAAGACAGGTTGCCATTCAGGTTACACAAAAATAGTAGATCACACACATCATCATCCAAAGTCATACAGGTATTAAAGATATATACACAAAGAAAAAAAAAGTACATTGTAAAAAATAATAAACTGGAGGAAAGCATTTTCGAGTCATAGAATGGGAAAATTATTTCACAACAAAATTTCAATTGCGGGATTTTTTTTATACACAACTGTTCACTACTTTATGTTATTATCTATAGCAAATCTTTTTTGATGTAGCTTTTGATTTTGGATTTTTGGTCAAAGCTTTTAAATATATAAGCAGGGGTGTTCCGTAGCTGCACATGTATGAAATATACATATAACATCTGATAGCATGACTTGAAATTGATTTCTTACAACTATGATAAACTCAATTGTAATATTTGAAAGCAGTAAATTTTATACTTGTTACATGAGTTTATGAATTTATTCTGATGTTTTAATTGTTTTAAACTTTTTGATACAATTAAATTATACCAGATTTATTTGCTAGCAATATAAAAAACACATGAAGCAATTTTAATGTACATAAGAGATATTTAAAGAGACAAGTAACAACTGTCATAGACACATATATTTACACTATCTTAATATTTTTTTTTTTTTTTTTTTTTTTTATCTAATATGCGCCATTATTTTGGTTCTCATCACTGTTCTTGATGGTGGTACCTTGGGATGGATCTGGTAATTGTTGTTGATTGTCACCGTCTGTGGTTGTCTCAAGAGCTGTTATGTCGTCATAGTTTGTGATACGTTTTTTGGTGCTTTTCTCTGTTGTTTTGGCGAATATGCGACCATCGGATGTCCAGTATGCGAAAATTTTATGGTTGTACTTGAGGTCGGCTAGCTTTTGTGTAAGACCAGTTCTATACTGTGTTAAGTTCTCAGTTATGAATATGCCATCTACATCACCCTTTAAGGCTTTTTTGTTGGTATAAACCTTGCTTCTTGTGCGATATGACAAGAATCTTACAATAACCTGCTATTTACCGTTTTTTACATTCCCTATAACATGACTACGCCCGATATCGTTAATAGTTAGATCCAGGCCTAGTTTGGAATTGCAGACATGTAGTATCAAAACATCAGTGTTAATAGGGTGAGGGATTTTACCGTTTTGGTCGATAGGCACGCGGATGTTATGAAAACGCAAACTTGTTCGGCGTGAATATTGTTCTTGGTTTTCTAATCTGGTTTCCAGTTCTACAATTTTTTTGAAGAGAGAGCCAACTTCTGTATCAAGTTCATTAACTATGGTGGTGTTACTTTTTACATCCTCGTTAACTTTTTCGACATTAGAATACAGTCTACTAATCCTTATATTGTCAGTGTCAATCCGTTTGCCATGATGTTCGACTAATTCAGCTATCGGTTTTACTTGCTGATCAACACATTTTTTGACCTCCTCTTCAATCATTGAGGAAAAAGATTCACCTATTTTTTCAGCAAGAATGGGTACAATTTTATAAATTACAACAGGACTAGACAGGGCCTCTAAAACTTTATCTGCAATACTTTTCCTGGGTGCAGGTACTTTTTTGTCTAAATCCCGAAGATCACCAACTGAGTTTCGACGCCTTATTTGTCGTGTTGTTTGTTTTTGTGTTCCTGGAAGAAGCTCCGGACTTAAGAGCTCTTTTCGTTTGTTTGATGGTTTAGTTGCTGGAGTGCTAAGATAGATTGCAGGTTGTGAACTACAAATCATTGGTTCAGAATTAAGTTCATTGTTTTGGTCCGTGGGGGCAGCCATGTTGTTTGTTCTTGAATGTTGACAAAAGAATGTCTCAGTAAAGTTAACAAATAATTATAATTTGTCTGTAGATTGTTCTGTTTAAATCTGCAGGATTCACTCTGTTGTTAGTGTATTCAATTTTGACCCGTTATATTTTAGTTATCCATCGTATTTTCCATTTGACAAGAGAGATCTTTTACACGTCCATCTGTATTAGCGCATGCCCATATCCTCTTAGTCTATCCATTAAAATTGTGTAAAGGTATGGACAAACTGTATATTTTTGCCGAGATTACCTTTTTAGAGAATGATTCTTATGTTATTTGTATATTTAATAAATGTAATTTATATAGTGAGGTCCTTTTTTATTTGTATGTTAGAAGTTGTGAACTCAATTTCATTCTTACAGTGTTATACACACAGACATTCACAAATATGTTATTATATGATGCATAATCACTTGATATAAATCATTAACGTATTTATCTGGAGTGACATGACGGGTCATTTGTGGAGCAGGAACTGTATACCCTTTAGGAGTACCTGTTCACCCCGTTTTTTTTTTGGTTGGGTTCGCTTTGCTCAATCACTAGTTTTCTGTGTGTAGTGTTTTGTGGACTGTTGATCTTTTCAGTTTTTCTCCCCGGCCATGCTGTTGTCTGTTTTTATTCAACTTGAGGGTCAGTAAGATTATCCGACCTTGGTATCTTGGGCTTCAATGAGTGACTAATGCAATCTGACTTAGGCAAACATTGGCAAACATTATATATACTTATTGCAATCCATACTGTAGTGTAGCACTTGTTATGTTAGAAATATGACAGCAATCTAGATCTTCAGGGTCAGTTTCAAGGTGTGACTCTAGGTCAATCTACTTTCGACACGGTTCATTTTAAGGTTTAGGACAACTTTTATTTCATATTATGGACTAGAACATCTAAAGTTACAAAATGATCAGAGATTCCTTTGTAGGATTTGTACAAATCTGAGACTACTATAACACATATTATAGTGTTATAGTATTCTCAGTACAAATGTATACTTAACACTGCGTGCATATGATCTACAAGGCATTGACCATTCATCTTATTAAGGGATTGGGGTTGGGATAGGGCAGCCTGAGACATATAAACACACACATGTCTCTGGATAGGGGTAAGTTTTTTTCTTCTTTTTTTTTAACAATAACGGACACAAATATTTTTGTTACGTTCAACTTGGTAATCATTAATCAGTTCCTAATCCAACTTAGCATTCCGGCAATTAGTGTCCAACGTATCAATAACTTTTTTGTTACTCACGGTTACGTTTTTAATGTAATCGTAGACAGTGCCAAGTTTTTTTAGATTGGAAAACTATTTTTGGAGAAGCGCATTTAAATTATATAATTATGAATTGTATACTTTAAAAACTACAAGTATATTCCAACAAATTTTAAGGGGACTTTTCATGTCAACGACATATATATCTGTTTCTGCTTATATCAAGGAGAACAGTGTTAGTGTTTACCCCGGAGAATGGCCGTCATTCGTTAAACTTTTAGACACCGGAAGTAGATGCCACGATTCCATAACAAGCGTCTGCACATTCTAGAAAATCAGGTTTCAAACAAAAAAACACAGGTTGACAATGACTGAATTTCACATTGCCAATATTTGATCACTAGGGAACTTAAATTTCAATGACAGTTACTTGGTCTTGTAGACAATTTTAGACTCTGCATACCTTTCTGACAGAGTATGGGCCGAACAGATTTTGTTCCGAATCGTGACTTCATTATCTCTGTTTTGTGATTACGTGGTCCGCTATGATAATCGGCAGTTAAATCATAAATGTAAACATGGATCCATTCACTATATTACTTGGTAGGAGAAGGGACACGTGTCGATGGTTTCAGCTCATAAGCATTCTAATTTTGTTTACACAGCTTTTCTTATGTCAAAGTACTTGTGATATTGAACTTGACACCTTGCAAAAAAGAAGTGCACCCGGCCTTAAAGCCCCCAAAAAACTTTGGTGGGCCAAAGAATTAACTCCAGATCTACATGTTGCTGGAGGGTTAATTGAAAGACAAATAAAATATGCATCTGAGGCTGGATTTAGAAGCATTATTTCACTATTTAATGACTTGCGCGCTGGAGATTTTGGTGGGGAATACTTACCAACTGCATTTGAGGCAAGTCAGATAGCTAAAATTGCTGGTCTTCAATATCTTGCAGTATTGGAAGAAGATGAAGAATTCGCTTCTGAAGATGCAATAAGGAAATTGACAGAAGCTATTTCACAAGTAGAGAAACCAATTCTTTTACATTGTAATCGTGCATTCACAATAGCATATACAACATTGTTGTATTTGGCAAATCAGTCAAGACATAATCCAAATTTTGTTCCACATGTTGACAGTGAAAAATTTTACAAAATGAGTGCACTTATGGGTAAAGATTTTACCTCAAATCATACCTTAAAAGCTGTGGTTGCAAAAGTCACTGGTGAGCCAATTGTAGAAAATCCACCAAAACCAGAAACTGAGCCAGATGACTGGCTTGATTTCTGGCTGGCCCATCCTGTATACAAAAACTGGTATACTGCTGGACAGATCAGAAAAGGACATTTACAGGAACTTGAGTTCATTGGCTTTAAATCTATCATTAATATGAGACTTGATACAACACATAATGGAAAACCATCACAGGAAACTGTAACACTTCTCAATGTGCAAGATGGCACACCAACATATGATTCAGATTATAAACCTTTACGACAAACACATTCACATATAAAAAATATAATTCTTGATGCGTCAAAAGAAAACCATTATATCTCGCCAACTTCTCCAGTTAATTATGAAAATCGACATCATGAAGAATATGGTGATGAGATAGGCTACAATGAGGATTTGCAGAGTAAACACATTAAAGAATTTGATCTTGACTACTACCTTTTACCTATAGGTAGGTTCTTCATTTATATCATTTAAACATTGCAATTATCTTAAACAAAAGCCTTTTTAAAAAAAAGGGTGTTAGTTGGAGAGATCCCGTACACTTTCATGTCAAACAATTGTGTGGTTTATTATACCCCCGCTTTAAAAAAGTGGAGGTATACTGTTTTACCTCTGTCTGTCTGATCGTCAGTCCGTCTTTCTATCCCATGAATATTTTTCGTCGCATCTTTCTCAGGAACTACATCATAAGGATTTCTGAAATTTGGTTTCAGGGTTTATATAAGTCAGCTATACCGTGTGATGCGTTTTCAGATTCATCACTCAACAACTTCCTGTTTAAAAAAAAGATAAAAAAAAATTAGTACATTGGTGTGTTTGCCTTTCATACATATAAATTCTTCAAAGTTGGAATGAAAATCCAATGTTTTCTGTGTGATCTTTGGTACAAATCATGCTGAGCTTGCTTCAAAACATGTATATATATTTGATAATTGTTGTACTTATATTATTGGATATCACTGGTGTAGATATTGGATATTTTGTTATGGGAAAGGAGAAATTAAAAAGGCACAAGGAGAATTGAGACAGCAACCAAATATGACATGGTGAGCTAAGAATGAACATTAATTGGTAGCCATAAGGCCATTAGCACTTAGCAGTGGTGACAATTTGCCAGAAAGACTAAATAATTGGTAAAAGAGGGAATAGAAGATAATATACCACTGCAAATGCAGGAGGTTGTTGGCTTGATCTTAAGCCTAAGTCAGACCAAAGACTTTAAAATTGGCACTTTCTTTTTTCTGCCAAGCTTGCTGTAGAGAAAAGACTGGTCCTTTCAGAGACAAAATGAGGCCCATAGACCAGAGCAAAAGTAGACCAAAAAATAATGGATTTATAAAAAAAACATTGATTTATGATGTACATTTTACATCTGAAAAAAATAGGTTTGGAACCATCTACTGAATCAGATTTAGTTCCAAGAAAGATTTGGTACCTTTGAAATGAGAGGTTATCTTACATTTTTATAACAGTCTTTGGAAGAGAAACATATACCTGGAGCTTATCACATTTAATAAGCATGATGAAGCAACATTTTGTTCAATTTTTTTTATCCAAACTTTCAGGGACATATTACTTTTAAGACACTGAATAAGCATATAATATTTGGAGAAAAGTGACTGCAAATATAGTAAATTAAATCTTCTTAAAGTTCAATTAAAAAAGAGGACTTCAATTTTGATCATTATTAACATGATTAAGATAAAAACTTTTTTAAAAGGGTAACTCCTCATCTGGTGGGTGTTTTCTCTAATTCAATGACTTTTTCCTTCTCTAACCTTTTTCAAAAATGTACAGAATTGACATGAATTTAACCATTTTGGAAACTACAGTTACTGCCTCATCCATTTGTGGATCATCATGTATCAATGTACAGAATATACTATATGTTCCAATTATTTATTAAAAGAGTCAACTGGAAAGTACAGTAAAGAATTATTTGCTCAGTATAAAGATAAACTGCTAGAGATTGGAAAACAAGGTCCTGTGTTAGTTCATTGTGCTAGTGGAAAGAGAGTTGGTAAGGTTTAAGATAATAGACATTTTTTTCACAATTTTTTATATGCCCGTTTACGGGACGTATTCAGGCGCGTAGCTGGCTTTACGCAAAAAATCATTTGCTTGCACATTTTTTTCACCAAAAAAAAAAAAATCTGAAATTGAATTACGGATAGTCTTTAGTCTTTACAGATTATCGTGTCTGGCGGTGTTTAAAGCCCAAATCTTTGATGTCGTCTGTAGCAGTGACTAATAAGGAACTATATATCCTTCAATATTCGCAATCTTCTCAATTCTAATTACAATGCCAGTAACTACATCAACTACTGAACGGTCATTTGGTGCATTAAGGCAGAGACATATATACACTGTGTATATATATGTCTCTGATTAAGGCGACCGGAAAGTTATCTCCGTTCAACCATGGTACAGGACAGACTATCTTCGTTGGTGCTCATACATGTTCACAAAGAAATGGATATTAACACCGAGAGAGTTCTGCGATCATTTGCCTAGGCAAAAAATAGATAAATGGACTTTCGATATTAACTTTACTTTAAGTCTTACATGCAGTATTAACATTTAATAATACAGGCTCAATACAATCACCTTGAAAACATCTTAGATTTATATCCCTTACTTATAAGTCAAGACTTAAAAGTGGCCGTTAGATTTCGTATTCCCATTGTCCGTTCGTCCAAAAGACTATTGATTCACCTGGGGTATCTGTGTCCCAAATGACCTTCTACCGTTGTCGTAGAAACCTCTCCTTTGATTTGAGAATGACCTTCGTGAGACACACTACGTGTGTCTTGCAAGAAGCAGGAACTGCTTACCCTTTTGGCCGGAGCACCGGAGGTCGCCACATTGTTTTCTGGGTCCCAGGTTTGTCAATTGTCCATTGATTAACGATTCGGTTGTCGACTTATCCTGATCTTCCCGTTTTATAAATTTTTTTTTTATATTTGAAAATAACCATGTTAATAATATAAGCAGCAAATTACGGAACTCACTAGACTTTTACTATCGTTTCATGAAAATATGGTATAGTAAGAAACAGATAGGGTATTTTTCATGTTCAAAGCAGTCACTGTAATTACTCATATGCCCGGAGCTTCATGGGGATTTGCTTCCCTGGACCACCGTCTATGGTGCTGCCCTGAATCCCCGACTAGGGTGCTATCCTGGACCAGCTGGGGACTTTGAGCGGTCCATAGCCTCCCCCCTTGCCGAATCACTATAAAGTCCACAAGTATTCACAAAATAGGAGTTTGGGCGTGAATGTGATGTGAATTTCATAAGCATGGCATACCGGGAAAATGCCCGAAAAAAGTTATCATTTTCTGCATAAAATGGTCCAAAAAAAATATTTTATTTAAGTCCAGCTACGCCCCTGGTATTTTAGTATACCTCTGTCCGTCTGTCTTCAACATGTCAGACAATGACTCAAAAAAGCTTTTACCAATTTTCATGAAACTTTGTTGAATTGTTTATATCTATTGACGTAAGCTCCCTTTCGATTTTTATAAATTTTAGATTTTACATTTTCAAGTTATGGGATTTTATTCATAAAAAATGGATTTTTTCCAGTTTTCTGACTATAACTCAAAAATGCTTTCAACATTTTTCATGAAACTTTGGGGAATTGTTTATATATGTATTGACATAAGTTCCCTTTCAATTTTAAAATTTTTTTGATTTTATATTTTGGTGTATTGGGACTTTATTCATAAAAAAGGTTTGATTTTCCAGTTTTCGGACAATAACTCAAAAATGCTTTGAGCAGTTTTCTTGAAACTTTGGTGACTGGTTTGTACCTATTAATATAAGTTCCCTTTAGTTTTTTATAAGTTTCTGATATGAAATTGAGAAGTTTTGGAATTTTTTCTCTGACTGTTTATGACGTCTTTACACTAAATCCATTGGATGTTGGATGTGTACGGATTGATAATTTAGTCTTAGATGCATGATTTTTTTATTAGTTGTTAGTGGCTTTGAACTAGCTGTCAGTAACTGTGAGTACTCTCAGATCTGTACTTAGTGTCTTTTTGTTGTTTGGATGTACAAGTACCCTGCCACGTCCACTTGCATTTGTAGTATTTGTATTTTTATCCATCTGATGAGTTAAGCCTCTTTCAACTGATTTGTATAGTTCGTTCTTATGTTGTACTGTTACACCACTGTCCCAGGTTAGGGGGAGGGTTGGGATCCCGCTAACATGTTTAACCCCGCCACATTCTGCATGTATGTGCCTGTCCCAAGTCAGGAGCCTGTAATTCAGTGGTTGTCGTTTGTTTATTTGTTACATATTTGTTTTTCGTTAATTTTTTGTACATAAATTAGGCCGTTAGTTTTCTCGTTTGAATTGTTTTACATTGTCATTTCGGGGCCTTTTATAGCTGACTGTGCGGTATGGGCTTTGCTCATTGTTGAAGGCTGTACGGTGACCTATAGTTGTTAATTTCTGTGTCATTTGGTCTCTTGTGGAGAGTTGTCTCATTGGCAATCATACCACATCTTCTTTTTTATATTTATTGAAAAAGTGACGGGCGTATCATGAGCTCATGGTGCAGCTCTATATTATTTTCAGATTTGATCACCTTTCTTTTACTATCATAGTAAAAATGACACAATTATCTAAAAATAAATCCTGCTTAGGATTGGGGAATGTAGTTTAAAGTCTATGTACTTTTATTCAAATAGAAATGTATACTTATGTTTAGTATATGAAATACATTTAATGGTAGCTCTAAAATTTACAACATTGATACTAAAGTTGAACTGCAGGGGTATCTTTGATCATTATATCACTGTTTTAACAGAGAATAAATTTATTCAAAAATACTGTGACTTCTTATATCTAGCCAACAAATATAAATTGTATGCTAAAATTAGTTGGTTTACAGTATGCTGTGAGCATAGGTATTATCCACATACATTTTTATAATAAAATTTTGCAGTGTGGTTTAAAAAGAAACTATAAAATAAATTTCACATGACTATTTTTCAGCATTTATGGCAGTACTTGCAGCAGCCTTACAATATGAGAAAGATTTCAAGTGGGCACTGAAGCGGATCAATGAATTAGGATTTGAAGTGAGTCGAACCAAGAACAGAGATGTTTATGAGATGTATTCTGCCTGGCTAAATCCAGATCATGGTAATAAAACAGAGTTATGATGAAAAACAGACTGAATATACATTTTACATAGTTTTCTTTTGCTCACATGTTACATATGTTTTGTTTACTGTTAAGTTTATTTTTTGTGTTTTTTTTTCATACACTGTACCTCTCAGATAGGCTTCATTATGTGATGGAGCATAAGCTTATCAGTAATGTTTTCATTGTTGCTTTATAAAGGACAGAGCCAATATGACTATTTTTCTTTCTTTAATTTTTACTAGATATCAAAATTTATAAATATGAATAACCCACCAAAATATGTGTGCTAACTAATAATGCTACAACAAATTAGAAGCAATCAATTTATTTCTAAGAAATGTGATCTACCCTTTCAGGAAGATAAAGATAAATCATTAATGTAAAGTGTTTATTTATGTTATTTTTAGTAAAAATACATTTTTGTAACTATTGTCTGGATAAATTAATAAATTGATTGATTGATTGTTGTTTACTTACCTTCCATGCATATTCAGGATAAATTAATGATATGCAACCATGTCACATGTTACAGTAAACCTGCTGGCTTTTTATTTGGATTTTGATTCAGCCATGCTGGATCTATGCGATCACTCTGGTTTTGGAGATGGTGCAGAATACTAAGTTGAAGACATATCATGAAACTAATTATGTGTTTTTATGACTTGCAGAAACCATTTTAATCATCAACTGCAAACTTTTGACATTCTTAAATTAAGAAAAGATTGGGCGAATAGTGACTTTATTTTAGATATACACTTGCATATAGTTCCTTTCTAAATCAAAATTTATGATGATTTACTATTTATGAATTAATTTGAAAAAGTATTTGTACATCAATTGAATCAGTTGATAAGAATTTTGAAAGTATTATATTAGTATCTTGTGCTTGTGTAAATTATTGTTCAATGAAATGTAGGTCAACATGTGTATTAAAAAATCTAAGTTGATTCCCACACTTTTTTGAAATGGTATTACTCCAATTCTTTCCATATGAAAGTAAGAGTCAGAATGATTATTAACAACAAATGGAAGTTTTTAACGACCTTGACTGGCTATACAGCCCTTGCACGGTCGGCTTGATTATTAACTGCCATGATTTTCAAATAAGTATTAATTAGAAACAACCCCAGGCTTAATTCAAAACAGTTAATATATCATGACCTGTTACATAATTAAACAGACACAATTTATTACACACCTAACTGAATACACACATTCTTGACCTCAATAGTACACCTACAAATGCATTATTTATTTTGATCTACACTACATTAAAATATTCTGTTAATTTTGCTAGCTAGCTGAATGATTAATCTGATGTGTTTTTTTTTCAATGAAAATACTTAAAATGTATAAAAAATGCAAGCAAATTTTATTTTACTTGTAAAATCAGTGCCATTATTATCTGACGTAAGTCAATAATCAAGTTCTAATTAATTAGTTACAATTATCAGAAATTTTGTTGAAATATTAAACAAAATTGCATAACTCTTACCTGAGCATTTTCTGCAATAAAATTTATTTGTTTGTTTTACATTTATATCCCATTATATTGCTATTTAACAGTAATTGGAAATATCTCAGCATTAGGTATTTGTACATTCAGATTTGAATACAGGAAATGTATTTTTTCTTAATGAAGAATGAACACCAATTTAGATAAAAAATGGTTATTTTTTTTAATTTTTATTGTTGAGAAAGTGCATTTATAAGGCCTCTTTCTGGAAATGATTAAACCTGTCATTATAAAGGGCATATAAAAATATATTACTTGTTTGACGATTTTCCTTTCCATTCTTTTCAAAAATAAAATCTGACAGAGTTTAAAATTGAAAGATCAGTATATATATCTAGTTATCAATGTTGCGAAATTCCCTACCTTTAGACAATAACATAGAAATTTTACAGATTGGAAATGAAAAGAGAGAAAAAAATTTAGAAAAAAGTATGGTCAGAAAGAATATGAGACTAGCTATGAATATGGCTGGATCACAACATCAATGATGCTTTGATTATATTTCTGACTGAAAGTCATAAAAGAACTGAGAAGTTAAACACAAATTCCAATTTTGTTAGAGAAATTAACTTAAAATACTTACTTCGGGAGAATTTGTTTCAGACCACCTGTATGTTCTTGACAATACATTGTATCTAAATCATCAAATGTTTTGCAATCCCCACCTATCAGCATTTCTTTGTGTACCTGTTATATAATGTTTTATTTTCTAAAAAATGTATAAACTAAAGAGAGACAACTGTGTCAAGAAATTTGCTTTGTTATATATTTATTTCTACTAACCATTTTTAAAGACGAAATTTACTACATGTATTCAGATATGTATTCATATGCAATTTATGTTGTCAAAATGTAAGTTGTTTACCATATATGTCACAGAAAGTAGAAAATATGAATCTTATAAAATATGAAAATCTCGGAATAGTGTCCACTGCCATTGTGTTATGAATATTTAAAATTCTCCACCAAGCTGTAAATTTGCATTTATAAATCATAGTCTAAATAAGACATGTTAGTATTGATATATTAAGATTATATGTAATGTAGACTCTCTGTGGTGTCATTTTGGAAGACTTTAATAAGGAGCAGAAAAATACAGTTGAAAATTCAATTCTGTTATAAAATTGCTTTTGTAGCATTTCTATTTTTATACCTCTTACAAATGTTACTTGAGGTTTTAGGTTTTCTCCTTGTACATACATCTGTTCAGAAATCCATCTTTGTACTCCACAACTGCAATCCTCTTGTATTGTATTATATATTATATTGAAGTTGCTTTGATTTACATTTCATTCTGTAAGGATTGTAGTATATCTATGTGCCATGTAAATCTTGCTCAAAATTGTAAACCTTACTGTCATTATTACATATTTCAGTTTCTACTAGTTTATGTTCATTGATATTTTATATTGTTGTAACTTGTTATATCAGATTATTCACAGAGAAAACTTGTGCATACATTTCTATCAAAAGTTAGATATATCAAATTGTAAAAAGTTATGGTTCTCAAGTATCAAATTTTACCATATATTTACAATCGAGATGACAACTTTTACATTGCACTGTAGACAAAGGTATTGTATAAACTGAAATCACAAGTAATTATTTATTATTTATAAAGTAACTGCTTTATTTGTATAGATGCATGCATGCATGGTTATCAGGTTCTGAAAGTAATGCTTCAATTCCTTTTGGTTTTTTTTGAAAGATTCACCAGTGACACTAATAACATCCTTATTGACTGCTCTGATGACCATCCAAAAAGTAAACATGATATGCATTGTTTTTGTTTTTTTTATAAATAGGATGTCAGCAACAACCTACTTAAACAATTTATTTTGATAAAGCTCAAAAAAAATTTGGAAGCAAACTTTTTGTTTTTGTTTAAAGAAGTTGTTGATGTCTCAAAGATTAGTATTAATGATACTTTAAATGAGATAATAGTAGATAGCAGTTTTCTGCAACTGCTCGAAGTTGGAGGATAAAAGCAAATATGTATCAAATATTTTGAAATATTATTCATATCTCACAGACTAATTTAACATTTGTAATTTTGCAATGTTTTGCTATTTTCAAATTTAAGGGGCCCAAACATGTGGTTTAGGAATGCCAACTTGTTTTGAAAATTTTACCTTTTTGTGAAAAAAAACCCAAAAATAAGTTCAGTTGCAAGCTGCCTTCGATAAAGTATAGTGAGTCAGAACTTAGATATCTAACTGTAACCCTTGTCGCTATACATGAATAACATTTTTGTCATCAGACAAGAGGTAAACAGATTGAAATATAATTAATTATCATAGTTATTAAATTGTAAATCATACATCTCTTTATTTTGATTTTAGTAGGGAAATGATATTATTATGTTTGTACCAAGGAATTGTGTTGTATTGCTTGTATTGTTATTATAATTTATTTTGTTTAGACATTTATTTCCATTTACTTTCAAACATTCCAAAACTGGTATTTTTGTTTTCTAAAATTTCTTTCAGTTCATATGAAATTTTGATAGGTATTACCTATCAAAATTTCATTTGAACTGAAACCAGTCTGTCTGTCTATAACTATATTTCTTTCACTCTGAACCATTTCCTCTCTCCTTTATTTGCATGTGAGTAATGGAAAAGGGTATACAAACATTACCATAGGCAGGATATCTGGTACTTTTTCTAGATTTATATCACTGTGACATGGTCTTTTTTGCGCTGATGAGGTGGAAAACAAACATCTATCAATCAATCCTAGAATTATGCCCCTTTGAACTCAGAAATATTACCCAGTCCATCATGAATTATGTGATTGCAACTTCTCTTATAATACGCACACGATTTATTGTATGTATGTAAAACATTATTAGATTCTAATATACAGATTTGCATGTGATTAGAATGGTCAGTTCCATTTTTTTTTCTTCAAAATTATGCCTGTTGAACATACATATATTTTTACCTATTTCAGACCCAAGCTCTTTATTATGAGTGGCCTTATCCCACTTCTTTTCAATGCATTTTTGTTTACATGAAACTGGTTACAATGTTAGATCTTTCTACTTTTTATTAATCAGTAATCCAAGATACATAATGATCTTTTTGTATTGATATTATAGTTTTATAGCTGACCTGGCCCAATGGGCCAAGTGAGCTTTTCTCATCACTTGGCATCCGTCGTCGTCCGTTAACTTTTACAAAAATTTTCTCCCCTGAAACTACTGGGCCAAATTTAACCAAACTTGGCCACAATCATCATTGGGGTAACTAGTTTAAAAAATATGTTCGATGACCCCGCCTGCCAACCAACATGGCCGACATGGCTAAAAATAGAACATAGGGGTAAAATGCCTTTTTTGGCTTATATCTTTTAAACTTAAGCATTGAGAATATCTGACAGGGTAAAAATGTTCATCAGGTTAAGATCTATCTGCTCTGAAAATTTCAGACAAATCAGACAACCCGTTGTTGGGTTGCTGCCCCTGAATTGGTAATTTAAAGGAAATTTTGCAGTTTTTGGTTTATAATGTTCAGCAAAGTAAGATCTACAAATAAGTGAAACATAACCGAAATTGTCAATTGACCCCTTAAGGAGTTATTGCCCTTTAAAGTCAATTTGTAACTATTTTTTGTAAATTTTTGTAATCTTTTACAAAAATCTTCTCCTCTGAAACTACTGAGACAAATTCAACCAAACTTGGCCACAATCATCATTAGGGTATCTTATTGAAAATGGCTAAAAATAGAATAGAGGGGTAAAATGCAGTTTTTGGCTTATATTTCTGAAACTAAAGCATTTAGAGCAAATCTGACTAGATAAAAATGTTCATCAGGTTAAGATCTATCTGCTCTGAAATTTTCAGACAAATCAGACAACCTGTTGTTGGGTTGCTGCCCCTGAATTGGTAATTTTAAGGAAATTTTGCAGTTTTTGGTTATTATCTTAAATATTATTATAGATAGAGATAAACTGTAAACAGCAGTAATGTTCAGCAAATTACGATCTGCAAATGAGACATTATGAACAAAATTGCCAATTGACCTCTTAAGGAGTTATTGCCCTTTATAGTAAATTTTTAACAATTTTTCTTAAATTTTTGTAATTTTTTACAAAAATCTAATTCACTTAATCTACTGGGCTGAATAGAATTAAAATTAGCCCCAATATTCAGTAGGGTATCTTGATTGAAAAATGTATCTGATGACCCTGCCAACCAACATGGCCGCCATGGCTAAAAATAGAACATAGGGGTTTACTATAGAAGTCTATTGGAAAATTGTAAAAAAAAAATTTCAAATGTTCACAACTTGAAAACTAATTTAAATCATGATAAGGGGTCTTCAGTAACTATTGTAAGACTACAATGGGATGACCTGCTTTTAATTTAACCACTTGGCCAAATTAAACCAAACTTGGCCTCAATCATTATTAGGGTATCTAATACTATTTATTATGATTTTAACCTTATTTTACATGATTTCCAAAACCACAGTAGATACAGGTGAGCGACACAGGCTCTTCAGAGCCTCTAGTTTTATTGTATTTATAGATACTTTCTTTCATTATATTTGCTACCAAATCTGCAATAGGTTATTTTAAAATCTTCATATTATCTAATGTCAAACGAAAATAATTCTAGGCAATGATGATAATCATGTAGATCTATTTTTATTGTTGTTTCAAAGAGTAGAGTCATATATTTTTTATATGTATAAGATACATTTAGCAAATGCATTTATTGTTCTTTTGGTTAAGGGTTTTGAGTAGCTAGCATCATTAATATTACTGCGTAATGTAAGTGATGGAAATTTCAGTTAAAATTAAAGACACTTGTTTGTCTCTAGATATTTTGTGAAAAGAACCCCTGCACCTCAGATGAATGTATTATGATTTATAATGGAATAATGATGTTCTTCCAATTATTCACACTTCATATGATGTATTTACTTCATATTTGCTTTAATTGCTTCTCGGGAATTATTACATAATGTTAAAATTGATTGAAGTATTGATTTATTAT